ATTGGTGCGGAAGAAGCTTGTATCGAAGACGGCCTCCGGGTGAGGGAGGTTTAGCGTTTGGAGGTTGGAGTAGAGGCCCGTACCCGGTGTGCGAAAGTCCTGAATGCCGGCGGAGGTGGAGATTCCGGCACAGTACTATGGCACATGTTAGCTTGTGGCGGAGGGGTTTTGGGAAAGAGGAGTATAGTACCAGAAAGGCCATCCTTTCGTACTTCCCGCTGAAGATGAATTCCGCTACTGCAGGAATGTCCCGGCGGGAGAGTGTTTCTGGAGGGGTATCAGAATCGACATGGGTGGACAGTTCAGCACCCGTTTGTTTCTTTTTGAAAGGTTTTCTGTCTTTCTTTAGGTTAGGTAACGGTATTGAGAGGGTAAGGTTGAAGGAAGCTTCCTAGCAGCGGGATGGTTGGCGCGGGGCAGGATCACGTTAGTCTTTGTGAAAAGAGCCTCACATTTTAAAGTTGGATGGGTGCCATGGGCGGGATGATGTCATTCACCGCTCTTAGTCCCGGCATTCTTCCTTTGTCCACCTGGAACATTCAATTTCCCAGCCAGTTGTGCAAAGGCCAGATTTTGCAACACTTAACTAAACTTGGTCAAAACACCGCATTTTCAAGTCTTTTCAGCGATCAAGTGACTCAACACCTTGGACGAGGGTATTATTCTTGGTCTAGTGGCTATGGAAACCGGAGGTCTTTTTGGAGACAGTAGTAAGTGGGAGTAATTAAGCTACCAGGTATGATATCCCAGAACAACATGATAATAACAACAGAATTAGCCGAATTCTAAATAAATTCATTGATATAATGAAAGTTCCTTCTAAACCTTGGGTCTCATTAGTTCAATTGGGTGTCGCTTCGAGGCAGCTAGTCAAGGAGTTCGATTTTTGTAGCTTTGAATCCCTTTGCAGGAAACATTATCGTCCCATCAAATAATGCTTAGATCGCCATCAAGGACCCCCGAGTACTGGTATAGCTTTAATCGTACTTGCAATGAAATTGGGCCAATGACGAACAGGGATAAGTAACAAGTAATTTTTTGTTGCCCTCCTATGACCATTTCTCTTTTGCCCTCCAAATACCTTGCCGTTCGTCATCAGCCCAGTTTCGTAGTGGGCACGGCAATGGTGTTACGAGCGCAGGCGCAATCCCTTCAATACAACAAAAGCCAACCCTATACTCGTGCGTCTCAGCCAAGATTTGCCTTCCCCATTTGTCATAGTGAGTGCAGCCGAATCTTTCTTCCAGAATAAGCATAGTTCATAAGAAGTGTGAGACTAGAACAGACACTAACTGTTCAGGGAATTGAAAGCATATATAACAGTAGGTGGTGATTTACATGATGAACTTGGAACTCAATGGGGTACGATATTTGCATATACTGGTACACCAATTACCAAACACAAATATGTATTAGCTTGTATAATATTCTCAGGTACAGCAAACTATTCTACACTGTTAGGCATTAAATTTATTATCTACTCCCCAAGCACGAACCTGTAACAGATTGAGGTGAAAATTCATACAGAAACAATCAACCAACTCCTGAGGCATACGGTTCCACTCAAACCTAAGAGTATTTATCACCTCCTCCCTTGTCTGCTCACTTGTTCCAGTGAAGTCGTACTCCATCATTGCATCCTTAAGGTAATTCCAGCAAGACTCGATCTTATTCAAGTCTGGAGAGTTTGCTGGCCATTTAGGAATCCGGCGTATACCTCTAGCTGTTCGGTGATGTTGAACTTTCTTGCAATACATTTACGCAATCTGAGTTGTCTCTGCCACTAGTTGCATAATAACAATATACTATACTTCTTTGGTAGAAAAGAACGACCTCCCTGCACACTACTACAAATGGGGAAGCCTGAGGCAAATCTTGGCTGAGACGCACGAGTAAGTTGTTATGATATCAATATAGTACTAACGTCATTCACGGCTTACCGGCTCTTAACCCATATCCGGCTCAGCGTGGATGGCGCAATTGGGGGCCACATTAGGCGGGGGTCCTAGCACCTCTCCCGAACCAAAAACAATTAAATTCAACTATTATGAACCTTCCCACAACAACCCATGATATTCTAATAAAAAAGAAAGACCAATAAATGCTCTAATGAACCGAACTCCTCTAATCAAGTGAAAATTAATGCCTCCTCTCCACCCAGATTGTATCACCTACCCCCCCTCCAGCTTCATCACCACTACTCGCCCCAGTAACCTCCAAAGCCTCCATTTCTTCCCAGAGATCCTCCATCTCATCTGGGGCAATACCATCAACACTACAAGGGACAAGCACTTCTTCGTTCCCCAGAGTGGGAGTGCGTTGTGCAGAGGCACTTTTAGTTGCCGGAAGGGTTTTGAGCAAGCGTGCCTGCTGGTTAGCAAGCCGGGTACTCTTGGCAGCATCCCCTCTCTCACGCTCCTTTCGCAGCATCAATATGGTCTCTGAGGTTACTACGGTAGCCTCAGTTAACTTGCGCCGATCGGAGGTGTTTTTTTTCTTTTCTTTTGCCATTAGCTGGCGGTATTGTCGGTAGGCCTCCTCCTCAACTGCCTTGTCAGCAATTGTTTGCTGCAAGCCGGTGGAGAGATTGGAGAGAAGCTCTTTTAGCTTTTGGGAGGCGGGAGTATTTCTAGTGACTAAGGAAGCTGCTGTTCTAGGAATCCGGCTGACAGCACGTGGGGTTTTTGGTATCTTTTGCCCGACATCACCAGCCAAGTCTTTTACTTGTGTAACATTCGCTTCCTTTCGCTTCACCCCCCCAATTGCCCGCCTTGGATTAAAGTGGATAATCCCGACGGCTTCCCAAGCGCTTCGGATATTCAACTCGGTAAAGGCCAACCTGCGGGCAGGCATAAGAATTCTGCATTCTAATTAGCACAGGTTAGAAAAAAAAAAAGTAAGGGCCCGAGGGAGTAGTATGCGGTCTGCAAACAACTACTAACAGTAAAAATTCGCCTTTATTCATACCCCCATGATCTTTTCGAATAAAGGCATCAAGGCCATTACTGTAGTAACGCTAAAGGGGGCTGAATAAGCCAACATCTAGCGGTTGGAGGAGGTGAGTCGAGTGGGCGGGGAGACATAAAGGGAGAATTTTTGCATTGAGGCAATAATCAAAGAATTCCCAATTGTAATGAGAAGTATGCCCATCCAAGATAAGCAAACGATACTTGCTGCGCGCACTGTAGAGTAGGGGGCTATTTAGCAAAAAATGTATCAAATTGACTAGGAGAACTTACCTTTCCCGAGTTTCTACATCAAATACTTCCTTCAACCAGCGCAACCCAAGGGGTTCATTACTCCAGCCCTTTTCAGAAACCCCAAAGGTCGCTAAGTCCTGTTTTTTTAACTTAGCATACCAGCCCATATAGTGGGCTTTACCTTTGTTGATAATCATGGGGCGGAGAACTTGGCCATCACCGGATACTGTTTCGATAACAGTGACCCATTCCCGCGACCCATCTTGAGTTAAAGTTGTTGACCGTCGATTCTTTCTACAGATAACCTTGCAACGCAAGGCTACCCCCATCATAAATCCTTTCTCGTCCATGTTGTACATATTGGACTGGGAGATGTTATAAAATTTGATCAGACTCTGAAGCTAAAGGTACAGTTAATAGTAAGCATCTCCGGTAATAGCATCCTTCCATACCTTTTTAAAGTAATCTTTCAGAACTACTGGATCATTGGCCAGTACTCTCTGGCGATCCAGCCGTGTACCTAGCTTCGTGGCCAACCCTGGATGGCGCCGGAGAAACCGCGACATCCAGTTCTTCCCTAATTCTCCGTCCTTCACCCGAGAGGCAACGATAGCTTCCGCCATCCCCTTGACCACTGCCAACCGGGCTGGATGCCCCCACTCATCCAGCTTCTCACACCAGCGTACCACCGATTTTTCCTCGTATTCCGATAACACCTGCCGGTGTTGGTGTCCTGTCTCCCGTGGTTGCCTTCCCTTTAGTCTACCGCGCAGTGTTGAATAGGCAATACCGTATTTCTCTGCCGACAAGCGGAGTGAAGGTTTATCACTGTTTTGATAGTGCTTAATGGCTTGCTGAATCCTGGCTTCTACTTTTTCCTTGCTTCCTTCCTTAATCTTCGGCATTGTGGAGAGTTTAGTGTTGTTTTGTTGACTTAAGCGATCTCCACAACGATTTTTCTACTGAGCGGGGTCGGTTGGAAGTGTCTGCTTGGCGCCGAGCCGGATAACGGTGCCGAGCCGCTAATGCGTGAATGACGTTAAGTAAGGAAACGTCCCAAATTTCCCTTCTTCCCTTAACCTCAACTTCATCATCCATCATCACTCAAGTTAAAAATATGCATAATACTGCACTCATCGCGAAACAGAACGCCGATCGAATAAAATAGAGCAAACCAAAACGATGGGAAAAAATGAATACAAAATAACTGGTAGTTGCTTGCTTGGATTCTAGCTTCACCGAATCCCGCTGATCGAAATCTGGTGCTGGATGCCTGTACACCACTCCACCCTTGCGATCCAGACCAAAGTTTTCGTTGCTAATCCAGACATTGTCACTAAACCTATGCGTGGACCGGATCACATCGCCAGGAATACCAGATCATCTCTTGGTATCCAGGTCACCAGGCGTTGCGCCAGAGAGCCTTGTGTTGGAATGCTATACCAACGAGTATGTCCCGTTCCGCCGGCGACAAGTCTTCAATCTGGTCGGTAAATGTCTCCAAACAACATTAGCTCCGGTCTAGTGTGCGGCTGTTGCTTTGGCGGTGCAGGACGCGATTTCATTTGTGGGTCTCTGGCGTCTGGCCCCTTGGCCTGTCTTCCGCCTCTTGAGAATGACGACTTTCCTTCCTTCTTTTCGCGGATGTTGCGGATTTTCCTCATTTCAATCTCATCCGCACGCTGATCCATGCGCCACTCTCGCTTTTCCCACTCTGCAAAAACCTCATTCAGACTGTCGCATTCCTGCTCCTCCGGAACGATGTTGCCGCTAGCCAACAGTATTCGCCTTTCGTTATCTTCCGCCAATGCTCCACCACGGAGAACAGCGCCATCCTCCAGAGTGATGGGCAAGTGGGTTAAAAATGGACCGAAAGCCGAGTTCAAAGTATATTAGTATAGGACGGTAAAGATCGTGACAACGATCATGATAATTGCTCGAGGAAAGCAAACACACGATCTTTGGTATCCCGGGCAAGGAAGAAGAGACCAATCAAACAAACCTCCATAACATATATTCCTGTAAACCACTGGTTGACCGCCCTGGGGAAGAGCAAACCTCCTATATCGAAGAGAAAGTGGTTGACGTAGAGAAGATTGTAACGATATACTATCCAGAAAAGACTGAACATGCAGGCATTGAAGATGAGAACCAATGCGGAGATGGCTGCGTGAACAACCCCAACGTGCCCCAAATCCAGATGTACCGGGAAGAGAGTGCCCCATTTCGCCTGCGCAAGCCGTGCCGCCGGGGTAAACTCCTGACGAGCGGTAGTCAACAATTGGACTAGGAATGAATTGTACGAGTAATGACCCAATTTGTAGAATTGCTCCACCGCTAGCAGTGAATGCTTGCAGTAGCAGGTTCTGAGAAAAAGAGGTTGGACGCCTTTGGTAGGTTCTGGGCCAAAATTGATGGCGCAGATGCAGAGTTATCCGTTAATTGCTAGAGAACGGCGGTAATGGCGGATGAGAAATTGACAATGAGAAAAGTCCGAATAAACAGAAAAGCAAAATAGATTCCTGAACAGCCCTCGCGATAGCCATACCAGTGTGATTTCCCTGAAGTTCCGCGAATGCACTAAGGATAATGGGCAACAATGCCACCAAGATTGCCAAACCCATTAGAGGTAAAACACTTTGGAGCAGACCTTTGGACCAGACCAAGAACAAAATTTGGAAGCTTATCAATCCACCCCAGCCATGGGACCGTTTCCGTGAGATAATCAATCTGAGCAACCAAACCAATAATGGCAACCGGGAAAGCCCATCCAACGATCAAACCCCCTGTAGCTATAATAATACCGGCAATGCGCAAATACCTCTGCCACCAAGAAATCTTCATTTTGGACCAGATGACATCATCGGGAGAGACCTCGATGTGGCGAGGGCACATCTGCTGCGTGATGTAATGAGAAAGCGACTGACAGGCCATATGCGCGGCGGCAACTTGCCGGTTGAACTGGATAAAAGCAGAGTTCATGAGTGGGTACTGGTGCACTCTGGTCCTGCTCTATCTCGACATTGAGACGGGCAACCTCCTTCCGACAATAGTAGATTGTGTCCACCTTCTTCCCAATGGGTGGGAGAGAAGGCAACCATTTCACACCAAAAGGGGGTAGAGTCATCATGGGCCTATCGTTTAATGAAAGGTGCTGCTTCCACAATGGGTCTCCGTGTTTGTCGTTAGCGTATGTCTTGTTGAAAGCCTTGGGATATTCCTTGCTAGGACCTTCGGCCGGTAAATCCATAGAACAAGTCGTATGCAGTGATGTAGGTGAACTGTAGTTGAAGGGATTTCATCATCGTCGTTCTCATGATCGTCGCTGACTTTGGGTCTTGTTCCAAAACATCCATCGAGGAGGTGCGTCGACTGCTGCCTACTGCCTGCTGACTTCCCACAGGGTAAGGATTGGCGACGCCGGTATTGCTCGATCAGTGGTAGGTAGGGTCCGAGTCCGTTGAGGGCTGCCGTTGCCATTCTCCCTAGACACAGCTTCATTGTGAGCAAATGTTGATCCCCTCTTTCTCTGTGTTCCATCCTCGCCAGTTTCGGGTTCCCATGTTTCACCAGTTTCCCGAAGTTGCTGGGGAGCTTGTTTTCCAGCAACAGACGGTTCGTCGACGAATCGCCGCCACCCGCTTGATATCCATACACCGCACTGGGTATGTGATCTTCCACCTGACCACTCAACCGCCTTACACCCCCAGTTATAGTGCTAACGCCCCTGATCACGCCGTGTCCGAGTCTGTAGAACCCATCATGGACAACTCTGATGGGACTGACATTAGTAAACCTCGAACAGATTTTATTGGGTCTCTTGTCATGCGTGTGATCATGGAGATCTTGGGGGATCTGGTGGGGATTCCCAGAAGATAAGCCAGGTCCGCCGGCAATTCCTCTTCCGCCACGGCTGCATCGGTAATCTGCGCTTTTTCCGCGGAGGAACTATCCTTCTCACTTAATTTCCCCCATTTGCTGCTTCCTGGCCATTTTAATCGATTCCGTTTCCACAGCTTCGAGATTTTTGACGAGTTTATCTCTCTCCTCGACTCTTCCCTGAAGCTCCTAATAATCACTAACATAGTGAGCCCAACCCTATCGGCCAGAGGGGAAGACCTACGGTTAACCCAAACATTTCAAACTCAACCAGCAAACACATCGTACAGTCTAACCAGCGCCTCAACCGTCAACCACTTTCTCGGAATACTGGAAACTAGAACCGTAGTAGCACTAGCTCGAAGCCTGTGCTACGGGGAAGTCAAATACGCCTGCCGCAACCGGATATACGCCCGGAGTTCATGATAGAACATATAACAAAACACGATAACCACGCCAACTGCCAACAACAAATAGCGTTTGATCATATTTGTCTGGTCTGTTGGGGTTGACATATCTCCTTCCAAGAATCATATTCACCACCCGGGTGTCTCACCCGACCAACTGTCTGTACCATCAGCCTTGGCATATCCCAGGCCAACAAATAGCCCCACAACTCCCTCATGTCCCTTCGTAGCAGCCCATGAGAGTGCTGTTCGATGAAAGCAATTATCCGGTTCGTCGGGGATGATAGTATGCTGTTCTAATCGCAGTTTTCCTATCTCCTCTTACCCGCACAGAGTAGCCCATATGAGTGGTGTAATACCGAGAAAATCCGTATTGTTGAAATCAGGGTTTGATTAACCCATAAAAGGGGTTACAATCTCTACACTGCCAAAAACCAATTCACAATGCAGGCCAGCAAACCCGACCAGATGGTCGCTAACAGGAATATCACCAATATATCGACTGGTCTTCAAGAGGAGGTCAGCCAAAAGGAACTTGGTAGATATATGGCTTTCAATCCGGCTAAAAGGCTTGAGCTCAAGTGATACTATGTCGCTTGAAGCATCTTTCCTAGCATGGACCCCCTAGTATACGGAAGAATATGTGAAGAAGGGAGTAGACTGAGGGAGGGCAAATAGTGTGGGCAGGATCTCCTTAATCGGGCGAAAATTGAGGTATGTGAAGCAGGTTTTGCCCTTATCGCATGACCTGCGCCAAAAGAGTTGGGCCAGGTGTAAAGGTACTCCTGGGGAGTGAAGTGGATCAAGCGAACAGTCGAAGCCTCCCTATCTATGACAACAAGCCCTAAGTAACAGCTGTGTCGCCACAGTGGGAATCCTTGCGGGATTGGGGTCTGGAGATCCTAACTTGACGGCTAGGGCGTGGAAAGGCTTATCGAGCTGTAACAACTGCTTCGAATGTGAGATCCACATCAGTGCTGCCATCCCGAACCTTGTTTTATATATGAGTAGTAAGAATTGTTGTAGGAGTTGGTATCATAATTGATGTGAGGCATATTTTCTTGCGGCTGCGATACCAGAAGGGAATGAGTGGTTGAGTTGCTGGGTTTAGTTTGACAGGTTAAAAGAAATTGCGAATACCAGTTAACGACGTCCAACACATCCAGTGGTTTGACCTCCTTATACCCATGGTCGGGAGCCAGGGACTCGGGATCGGGGATCACATGGCGGACTGAGATGGTTGATTTCCCCTGTTCTTATGGTACTGTACTCGTACGAAAGGATTATTGCTGACATTGCAAGTGCCCAAGCTCCACGATAGCTGAGTTTTCACCGTATATCTCAAGTATCTGCACGCACAACTCAGCGCTACGCTTCTATATGGGGCTCTACATGTGCTACGGGATAGGCAGATTTGTGTGGACTAGCGGATACCGGATAGGTTTAGCTAGTATAAATATATTTGAATTAAGGGCTCCACAGCCCACTTCACGTGACCCCCCCAAGACAACAACAAATGGAAATGGAAACGCAATTTCAAGACTCTATTTATTTGAATCTAATGCTCCCTAACGGAGATATCTAACAAACGCCCCCAATTGCCTCTAACAGAAGAAAAAAACAGCACTACCATTTCCACCCCCATAATAACACGCCTCATTAGCGTTTCTTGGTAGACAATTCGACCAAATGGGCGAGCTTGTCAATCCCCGACTTCATTTCAAGCTTTAAGTTTTCGATTTGGGCCTGGGTTTTTTGTTCAAAGTTATCGAGGCGGCTACCGAAGCGGGTCTGGAGTTTCTCCTCCGACTCGTGGACGACACCTGCGGTATGTGCCATCATTTCTCTTTCGGCATCAACGTCATACACCATCACTTTGTAGGCAACCTGTAGATATGAATGTGAGCGAAACAACTCCGAAAACAAGTATGCAATGGTGACCCCACCGATCCGAATCCAAAGAAAACAGTTGCACTGCCGAACACCATCATCATCTTAATCCACCCTTTAATTTCCGTAAATCCCTCAGTAATAGCCTTTCGGTGAATTGCAACTTCCTTTGTGAGTATCTGTTAGCATGTGCCGAACTGATTGTGAATTGATTCTTACGGTTTCTACGGCGGTCAGCCTTTCCAAGTGGGAAAGGACTCGGGGACCTTCGGACTTTGGAATAGCAGCCTCGGCAAAAACATCATCAATCGCTCTCTTTTATAAAATCAACAATTTAGCATATCTCACTAAACTACCATCGAAAGTTTTACTTACCTTTGTAGTCTTAGTGAAGTGGCGAGTGGGATGAGTGCGAGGATAGAAGCGAGGGGGGTGAAAAAAGCATCTCTGAAAACACAACTGACGTGTCAAGTTGAGAACCATACTTCCTGCTTGGAATTGTGAAGAGAAGTACGAAGTGTAGAGGATTAGGAGAAAGAGGACTGTCGGGAAAGAATCCCGGAGCTTAAATATTTCCTTATGCAACGGGAATTACCCGGCAGACACTAGACCAGGTCAGGGTTCAGCGAGGCATGGCATTTCTTGGCTAGCAAAAACCTGTCGACAGTGAAACCTCCGATAACTCCACCCTCTGATATTTCCAGGTCTCGAGTATTTCTATCGCTTGTCGCGGACAAGCTTCATTCTATGGGGTTTCCTCCTCTAAGTTCTAGCGTTCTACTTGTTTCTTTTTCCAGGCGGTAAATGTTTCTAAATTCCAGGTTTTGTTTTCACGAAAAACCTTTTCATGTCACCTCCCGAGCAGAGCTGTAGACAAATCGCCAGATAACCAGAGAGTCAGTTGGATGGGTATGTATGTTTTTAGAATGAAGGTTCATCAAGCGGGTGGTGTATATTATCCTCTCGGAATGTGAACATGTAGAGATAAAACCTGTATATTATCATGAACTATCACTCATTTTCTCTCAGCAACCCCCTCTATTGTGCCAAGTCTATTCTTTATTTTCCATCCCGCCTTTACTTCCAGGGAATCCAGTCGCCCCATGTCCTGGAGGTAACTGAGGTTTTACTGTACCACTCCCGGACTTTGCTAGCCAAGAAATGCCATGCCTCGCTGAACCCTGACCTGGTCTAGTGTCTGCCGGGTAATTCCCGTTGCATAAGGAAATATTTAAGCTCCGGGATTCCTTCCCGACGGTCCTCTTTCTCCTAATCCTCTACACTTCGTACTTCTCTTCACAATTCTAAGCAGGAAGTATGGTTCTCAACTTGACACGTCAGTTGTGTTTTCAGAGATGCTTTTTTCACCCCCCTCGCTTCTATCCTCGCACTCATCCCACTCGCCACTTCACTAAGACCACAAAGGTAAGTAAAACTTTCGATGGTAGTTTAGTGAGATATGCTAAATTGTTGATTTTATAAAAGAGAGCGATTGATGATGTTTTTGCCGAGGCTGCTATTCCAAAGTCCGAAGGTCCCCGAGTCCTTTCCCACTTGGAAAGGCTGACCGCCGTAGAAACCGTAAGAATTAATTCACAATCAGTTCGGCACATGCTAACAGATAGTCACAAAGGAAGTTGCAATTCACCAAAAGGCTATTACAGAGGGATTTACGGAAATTAAAGGGTGGATTAAGACGATGTTGGTGTTTGGCGGTGGAACTATTTTGTTTGGATTCGGATCGGTGGGTTCACCATTGCATACTTGTTTTCTAAGTTGTGTTGCTCACGTTCGTATCTACAGCTTGCCTACAAAGTGATGGTATATGACGTTGATGCCAAAAAAGAAATGATGGCACATACCACACGCGTCGTCCACGAGTCGGAGGAAAAACTTGGGACCCGGTTTGGTAGCCGCCTGGACAACTTTGAAAAACAAACCCAGGCACAAATTGAAAACGTCAAGCTTGAGACAAAGTTGGAGATCGACAAGGTGGCGCATTTGGTGGAATTGTATACTAAAAAGCGCTAACGGGGCATATTATGATGGGGGCAGAAACGGCCGTGCTGCTTTTTTTTTTTTGTTAATTAGAGGCAATCCGGGGCAGGGGCGTTCACTAGATATCTCCATTAGGGAGATTTAGATTCAAATAAACAGAGTCTTGAAATTGCGTTTCTATTCCATTTGTTGTTGTCTTGGGGGGTCATGCGAAGTGGGCTGTGCAGCCCTTAATGCAAATATCTTTATACTAGCTAAACCTATCTGCTATCCGCTAGTCGACACAAATCTGCCTATCCCATAGCACATGTGGAGCCCTGTATAGATGCGTAGCGCTGGGTTGTGCATGCAGATACCTGAGATATACCGTGAAAACTCAGCTATCGTGGAGCTTGGGCACTTGCAATGTCAGCAATAATCCTTTCGTACCAGTACGGTACTATAAGAACCGCGGAAATCAACCATCTCAGTCCGCCATGTGATCCCCGACCCCGAGTCCCTGGCTCCCGACCATGGGTATAAGGAGGTCACACCACTGGATGTGTTGGACGTCGTTAACTGGTATTCGCAATTTCGTTTAACCTGTCAAACTAAACCTAGCAACTCAACCACTCATTCCCTTCCGATATCGCAGCCGGAAGAAAATATGCCTCACATCAATTATGATACCAACTCCTACAACAATTCTCACTACTCATATAACACCAGTTCTCTCGACACCGAGATCGTGTTGAACCTGAACATTGGTGCGACCGACGAGAACTCTGAGATTCCAACATGGCTGTCTTCCCTTGAGTCCCAGATCCGACAGCGAGGTATTCGAATCCTCCGGGCCGGCAATGTGGGGGGGGTTGGCTGCTGGGGAGCGGGGAATTTCGGAGGTGGTACAGCGGAGTCCGGGAGAATGGGTCTGTACTTGCCACTTTGTTTTGCTGTAGCGATCCAGCAGTCGGGGGGGCATATTTAAGGTGGGTGGCGCTCATCAGAGGGGGCTCTAGGTGATGGTGGTGCTAATAATAAGTGATACTAGTTCACTTGTGATAGACGGATTATGCGATAAAGCTAAAATCAAAATATATATGGCTGTAGCCTGTTTCTACATCAATTTCGTCCCGCGGGAGGAGCAATCTCCAACAAAAATACCCAGTTCACTATTGAAACAAATGGTTGGTGGACGGGAAAGGATCCTGGATCAGATAACCCAGACTTTTCGAGATTACAAAAAGGTTATATAATGATGATAATGTGGGGCATATCCAGATGGGATTAAGTATGGATATATATCGAGAGGCAATCGACGGTGGTCTGGAGGCCGAGATCATCCAAACCATTACCCAGAATATCCCTGAAATGTAGCTGGCCAGCATTATCCAAAGTTTTATCACACCTTTGTCACTAACAAACCTAGATTTCTATTGATTTCATTAACCATGCATTCTATCCTTGGGGAAACCGTAGCCTATGGTAGGCGGCAATGGCTCAGGGCACCGAGGGATGAATTAGATTCGGAGGGTGTTTATGGTGCGACTCTAGAGCGAATAAAAGAGCAGGGCGGGAAGAAAACTAGGCTCGGGATGGGAGCACTGATGTGGATCTCGCATTCGAAGCAGTTGTTACAGCTCGATAAGCCTTTCCACGCCCTAGCCGTCGAGATAGGATCTAAAGACCCCAATCCCGAAAGGATTCCCACTGTGACGACACAGCTGTTTTTTAGGGCTTGTTGTTATAGATACGGAGGCTTTGACTGTTCGCTTGATCCACTTCACTCCCCAGGAGTACCTTTACACCTGGTCCAACTCTTTTGGCGCAGGTCATGCGATAAGGGCAAAACCTGCTTCACATACCTCAATGTTCACCCGATTAAGGAGATCCCGCCCACACTATTTGCCCTTCCTCAGTCTACTCCCTTCTTCATATATTCTTCCTTACACTGGGGGGTCCACGCTAGGAAAGATACTTCAAGCGATATAGTATCACTTGAGTTCAAGGCTTTTAGCTGGATTGAAAGCCATATATCTACCAAGTTCCTTTTGGCTGACCTCCTCTTGAAGACCAGTTGATATATTGATGATATTACGGTTAACAACCATCTGGTCGGGTTTACTGGCCTGCATTGTGCATTGGTATTTGGCAGTGTGGAGATTGTAACCCCTTTTATGGGTTAATCAAACCCCGATTTCAACAATACGGATTTTCTCGGTATTACACCGCTCATATGGGCTGCTCTGTGCGGGTAAGAGGAGATAGGAAAACTGCGATTAGAACAGCATACTATCATCCCCGACAAACCGGATAATTGCTTTCATCGAACAGCACTCTCATGGGCCACTAGGAAGGGATATGAGGGAATTGTGGGAATATTTGTTGGCCTGGGATATCCCAAGCGTGGTGGTACAGACGGTTGGTCAGGTGAGACACCCCGGTGGTGAATATGAGTCTTGGAAGGAGATATGTCAACCCTAACAGGCCAGACAAATACGATCAAACGCCATGCGTTATCGGCAGTCGGCGTGGTTATCGTGTTTTGTTATACGTTCTATCATGAACCCCGGGCGTATACCTAGTTGCGGCAGGCGTATTTGACTTCCCCGTAGCACAGGGTTCGAGCTAGTGCTACTACGGTTCAAGTTTGCAGTATTCCGAGAAAGTGGTAGACAGTTGAGGCGCTGGTTAGACTGTACGAGGTGTTTGCTGGTTGAGCTCGAAATGTTTGGGTTAACCGTAGGTCTTCCCCTCTGGCTGATAGGGTTGGGCTCACTATGTTAGTGATTATGAGGAGCTTCAGGGAAGGGTCGAGGAGAGAGATAAACTCGTTAAAAATCTCGCAGCTGTGGAAATGGAATCGATTAAAACGGCCAGGAAGAAGCAAATTGGGGAATTACGTGAGAAGGATAGTTCCTCCGTGGAAAATGCGCAGATTACCGATGCAGCCATGGCGGAAGAGGAATTGCCTGCGGACCTTGCTTATCATCTGGGAATCCCCACCAGATCCCCTAAGATCTCCATAAGCATACGCGTGACAAGAGACCCAATAAAATCTGTTCGAGGTTTACTAAGGTCAGTCCCATCAGAGTTGTCCATGATTGGTTCTACAGACTCGGATACGGCGTGATCGGGGGCGTTAGCTCTATAACTGGGGGTGTAAGGCAGTTGAGGGGTCAGGTGGAAGATTACATACCTAGTGCGGCATACCGATATCAAGCGGTTGGCGACACTGTGTTGACGAACCGTCTGTTGCTGGAAAACAAGCTCCCCAGCAACTTTGGGAAACTGGTGAAACATGGGAACCCGAAACTGGCGGGGATGGAACACAGAGAAAGAGGGGATCAACATTTGCTCACAATGAAGCTGTGTCTAGGGAGAATGGCAACGGCAGTCCTCAACAGACTCGGACGCTACCTAACACGGATCGAGCAATACCGGCGTTGCCAATCCTCATCCTGTGGGAAGTTAGCAGGCAGTAGGCGGCAGTCGATGCACCTCCTCGATGGATGTTTTGGAACAAGACCCAAAGTCAGCGGCGATCATGAGAACGACGATGATGAAATCCCTTCAACTACAGTTCACCTACATCACCGCATACGACTCGTTCCCACTTACTACTGTCTCCAAAAAGACCTCCGGTTTCCATAGCCACTAGAACAAGAATAATACCCTCGCCCAAGGTGTTGAGTCACTGGATCACTGAAAAGACTTGAAAATGCGGTGTTTTGACCAAGTTTAGTTAAGTGTTGCCAAATCTGGCCTTTGCACAACTGGCTGGGAAATTGAATATTCCAGGTGGACAAAGGAACAATGCCGGGACTAACAGTGATGAATGACATCATCCCACCCATGGCACCCATCCAACTTTAAAATGTGAGGCTCTTTTTACAAAGACTAACGTGATCCCGCCCCGTGCCAACCATCATCCCGCTGCTAGGAAGCTTCCTTCAACCTTACCCTCTCAATACCGTTACCTAACCTAAAGAAAGACAGAAAACCTTTCAAAAAGAAACAAACGGGTGCTGAACTGTCTACCCATGTCGATTCTGATACCCCTCCAGAAACACTCTCCCGCCGGGACATTCCTGCAGTAGCGGAATTCATCTTCAGCGGGAAGTACGAAAGGATGGCCTTTCTGGTACTATACTCCTCTTTCCCAAAACCCCTCCGCCACAAGCTAACATGTCCCATAGTATGGTGCCGGAATCTTCACCTCGGCTGGCATTCAGGACTTTCGCACACTGGATACGGGCCTCTACTACTCGAACCTCCAAACGCTAAACCTCCCTCACCCGGAGGCCGTCTTGCATACAAGCTTCTTCCGCACCAATCCCCAACCTGTCTACAATCTCGCGAAATCCCTGCACCCCGGCCAATTCACCCCGACCGTAACACACGCCTTCATATCGCTAACGGCAAAGAAGAACTTGCTTCACAAGTGCTTCACCCAAAACATAGACATGCTGGAACACGCCGTGGGGGTTCTGCCGCATAAGCTCATTGAAGCCCATGGCTCGTTCGCGGGGCAGTCATGCATAGATTGTCACACCGAGTACCCGGCCGATAGGATGAGGAAGCACCTTCTTGCCGGAAGTATGCCCCAGTGGGAGACTTGCACCCGGTTGGTGAAGCCGAATATTGTATTCTTTGGGGAGAGCTTGCCGAGGGAGTTTCACATAGGGCTTAGAATGGTTGAAGAGGCAGACTTAGTGATCATGATGGGGAGCTCATTAAGTGGTGACCCGTTTGTGGAATTTCCAGGACAGGCGAGAGAGGGGGCGGTCAGGGTTTTAATCAACAATGAGAGGGCTGGGGGGATTGGTGGCCGGGTGGGCAGTGTGCATTTGCTAGGCGGGTGCGATCAGGGGGTGAGAAGGCTGGCGGAGGAGCTGGGGTGGACGGCGGAGCTGGAGGAAGTTTGGAGGTCGGTCGGAGGTGGGAGTGATAAGGAGGTGGAAGCGCAGGCCGAGAGCAGTGAAGCTGCCGAACCGGTAGAAAGCATGAATGTGAAAGTTGACTGTCTAACTGAAGAAGTTGAGGATGGCCATCATTGACGGCCGGAAGGACAACGTCATGAAAGACCTTGCCACCCAAGAGACTCGGATCGGTAAAATGGTCGAGGCTGACCTTCGAGGGGAGAATGGCGAGGTTAGCCTCGTGGAGCAGAAGAAGCTTGGTGGGGATGCGGCTGACGAACCAACTGGTTCTTCCGAGGACGGGACTGCGCTCGATACTGCTGCCCGGGAGCGGGAGCATCTGGTGGGGAAAGTGGGTAGTGCTGGGGGTGAATGATTTTCCTAAATGTGGGATATGAAGATGAGGACGGTTGAATCGACAATTTTAGCTATTCTTGCTTTTTCGGTCCTCGTGGTATGCTCGTTGGTCAGTTGTTTTTGTTGAGCAATAAGTACGGATAATATACATTGGCTTTTTTGCATTAGACTTTCTGTTCGCAGGGTGCTATGATACCAACGTGAGACTGTCTATATGTACTGCGTGGTTTATCAGATTGGGCTATCTGAGACATCTAATCCGCGCGGATCTAATCTGATTGTACGTACACATGCTCAGTTCCGCCACACTGTACATCTGATCCCTCTCCCCTCCTTCTTTCTATATAGGACCCCCCTCCGCCCCCCTTTTCTCTTCCTCCTCCATCTCCTCCTCTTCACTGTCCACCTTCTTCTCTCTCCACCACCTGCTCCTTCTCGCCATCTGACCTTTTTCAAAATCAGAAAAAATAAAA